GGTTGACAAGCAAGTAGCCTTCATGTTGTGCTGCTTTGTCATTCTGACTTCCACACCTCACCCAAGCTAATGGTGAAGTCCCTGTCCTCCTCCCAAGAGATATGTGAACACACTGAACGCACAGGATGCCAGAGACCAGCCCATTCAGACCTCGCATTTAGTTCCTGACAAGTTTAAGAGCTTAATTTTTTTCCAAGCACTGTGTGGTTACAACACAATACTGACATCCAGTATTTTAATAGCAATCAAAATTACTGCACCTGCTCAGCTTGACCTAAGTAAGGTTGTATCACTCACGACTTGGGTGCAGCATCAAGCTGCTACACTCATGGCAACCTAGACATTAAGTTGCATTGCTCTGTGACACACAACCCACCCCAGTATTGCAGATGATACCTGCCTGGACTATTATTAGTGATGAAAATCTGCCAGCCTTTATTGGCATGACTGACATGACATGACTTGTTCATTATCGTCATCCTCTATTTCATCAGGCTAAAGAGGTCCAGGAACAAGGAGCCAATATCCAGCTGAGGTCTAACAACAAGGGTCACTCTACCAAAAAAAAATCTATACCATTGCCATAGCAACTCGCTTGCGCTCTGCGTAACCATGGCAACACTGCTGCTTCCCCATCCAGAGACTTTTTTTTGGCAATGTCCAATTGTCACCATGTCAAATTCTCAATAGTCACAGGATCTCAAACAGATCTGTCTTTAAAAAGCCTCTACATCTGTGACTAATTTCAGAGAGACAAACAACAAAACAGTTTCCAAAATTGAAGCACTGAAGCAAAAGTGCATCCTGGTGCTTATTTTTTATGGCACAACCAGAGCTACTGCAAGGTGGGAGATAAGACGGCAAACAACAGGAACAAAAATCCCAAATGAGTCATCACTTTAAAATTGTATCAAGTGAAGCAGAGCTACATGTAACCTTCAGTTCTCCAGATGCCCTTGGGGGCAGGGGAGCTCTAGTTGCAAGTTAAAATCGAAGTATGCATACGGGAATTTATGGGGCAAAACAATTAAAAATGGAGGTTCTGATGTTGTGGTTCTGTTGTTTTCCTTTAAAAAAATGAATATGGCCTTAACCTACTGTTTCAGGAAAAGTGATTTAGAAACGACTGCTGATTTTTTGTAACCTGTGAGAGCAACTCATGCTTAAGTTCTGATGTTCTAGACTGTTACACATTTCATTATCTCCTCACACATTTAATCTAAGACAGATTTAAACAAGCTCAGTCCAGTAAATGGCTGAGAGCAAAACGCTTTGGAATCAGATACTCTTTGTGCAACTACTACTTAACATTCTCCTTCTTTAATTGTCTCTGTATTAGCACAAGGATAATTTGCAGCAGTCTTAACTATGCAATCTCTAAAAACAGTGTTAGTGAGTTCTGAAAGCTTTTGCACCAAGCATGTAGATGCTTCCTAGGGTCTGCTACAAGTAACCCCAAGCAAACTTTCCCTGGATCTTCTTGTTTACCCTGAAGTGTTTAACCATGCATACACATTAAAGTATTACCACCACAACAATGATCATTTTTGTATTTAAAAAATAAATAAATATGTATTTTTACCTAGAGATTTTCTAGGTGATTAAACCTGAAAGTTTTATGTTTCTTATACAGAAATCCTAAGACAAATAAGTAACTGGAGACTATTTATTAATGCTCCCTACAGTGCAACTACAATGCATGTTGCAAACAACAAGCAATCCTTTCAGACAGCAAGACCAACCTTATTTCAAAGAGCAAATTGAAACAGATAAACACTAACCAACCTCTAGCAGAAATAAGAAAGCCAGGAGCTCTGTATTCTTGTGGTTTGAACACAGAGTCAAAGAAACATGGACTTCCCTTACTGATTTTCCTGAGGCTCATGAGATGCAGTTTAGCTGTAATATTGTTTAATAGCACAAGAATACACCTTAAAGCATTAAGAAAAAGAAAAACTGTTTTCTCAGAAAATCAAACAAGGATTATTCAGCACACAGAACAGGGGAATTACACAGCTGCTACAGTCCTAGAATATAATTACATGGAAAAATATAAAAGAGTGTTCTCACCGATGCAACTTGCCACCATAGAAGGGCTTGGTGTGAAAGTTAATACTTGCAGAATACCCAGTCTTCACACAGTTGATGTTGACTTTCCCTCCCAGTTCTACCCAGGGAACAGTCAAAATTGACCGAGCATATGCACAGGGTAGAGAGAATGTGTATTCTTCCCCATGTTCCAAGAGACTTAAGAGACCTGTGTGAAGAAATACAAGAATCCATAAATCATCATCACTTTAGAAAAGACCAAACAAGTTATTGAAACAGATATTCAATAATACATCTGACTACCTCCTCATAGCCCCTCACACAGAAAAGAAAAAAAGACCCCACACCCTACAAAAGTGGCATTTATAACAGATTATAGATATAAATATTTTCCTCAGAGAATTACACATTTATGTTTCTTTTGGGAAAAGACATTCATCCTAATAACATTGCTCCATAAGGTACAATATCATGCTGGGCAACATACTTTTCAGCAGTATGTAAAAGGACTGGTCACTCACTCACTGATGGTTCTGGAGCACAGCAACACAAGACTTACACTGTCAAAAGCAAATAATGAATTAATACCCTGAGCTGCAGATCCTGAGATGGGCCAATAATCCCATTCTGTTTGCCCTCTCTGAAATACATCCTACCCTGTCTGAAGGCAGGTAGCAAAGAACCCTCCTCACTGCACCTCACTGCCAAGATAAACCCAACCCTTTCCTGACAGTAGCTTTTGCAATAAATGTCAAGAATCTCATAAAAAGTAAGACTGTTTTTTGGGTTTTAAGATGCTTGGGTTTGTTTGATTCCTATTTAAAAAAGGAGAAACCAAAAAAAAACACCAAAAAACACCCAATGCAAGATCTACCTCTTGCCTTTACAAGAGTACAGTGTGACAACTGACTGGTGCCTGCATCAACCCACGCCCATCACGTATCATCACTGTGCATCTGATGTTACTTTTCAGAACTTCTCATGTTTTTCATACTCATGATGAGATTTGAGAAATGCCCTGGGGCAGCTACCAATTTCAGAATTACCTCGTACAGGCAAAGCACCAAGATGTCCCTTCCACATGCCCTGCCATGCTTATTGCCCAGCCAAATATGCAGTCTACATGCAACTGCCTGGAACGCCCAGATGCTGAGCAATATACACAGGGGACGGTGAATGGGAGATGCTGTCTCATCTCTTGCAGCACAGACCAGTACCAAAGGGAAATGACAGTTTAAGGGCAGTTAACCTTCCCTGTCCCTAAAGGATCCAATTTCTCTGAAAGAAAAATAAAACTTGCATAGGAAGATACGTAAGTACAATATATGCTAATGCAACACCACTTCTATTTAAGAAGCATCTGATGAAAATTAGTTTGCCCAATCCTTTAGAAACAGTCACTTAAATCTGTTTATATTGCAGTAACTGCCCTTTGGTTTCAAAGTCAACAATTTATTTCCAAATATAATCCTGGTTTTTTTGGCAAAGCATAAGCCCAGAGCATTTTTTCCACATATGAAAACTTCCTCTTTATAATGAAGACTTGTAGGACCTTCGTATGAACTAAAGAGTAACAATGAAGTAAGAAATCACTGAATGACTGTACAGTAAGGCTTGCAAACCAAAGATTAGAGGAAAAATATAGTACATTAAAAATCTGATAACATACAACAGCACCTGACATCTGAGAATTTTTTTTTTTACAAGCCTTTGAAAGAAAACTACCGACCAATGTTCACCTCTACTTATCCCAGAGGCAAACTAGTTTAATAGCTTTATAAAATTATTAAAGGACAGAAGTTAAACTTACCCTCACCAACCATTGTCACTCCTATTGACATCCCTAAGAATTTACTTTTTGTCCAGACGTGGGCACTGACACACATCTTTCTCTCTACACACTCAGCATAAAACCCTGAGACAGGAGGATGGTGGGACACTTGCTCGGCTACGAATTTTACTGTATAGTAGTCCAGCTCTGTCTGGCCTTCCAGATCTTTAGACAGAATTACTTGCTCTGATGGGGTGTGAGCAGAGGAGTTAGTGCCAGCATCAGTGGCTACTTGGCTCTTTGGTATCCTCCAGGAGCAGTGAAATGTCTCCCCAATGATGGGGTTGTAGGGTTTCTTTGCAATAGCTCCCTTGCGGCCCTCGTGAAAGGAAGTGAGATAATACTCGACGAAGCGGATCATCCTCTCCTCGGGGCTGGTGCCACTGGTGATTGCAATGAAGAGATCAGGATGGGACATGAAGTCTGCATACATCTCCAGCAACGAGCGCTTCTCTAAAATAAAAGTGGGAAGAACCACCTGAAATAAAAGAGAATCCAAAAAGCTCTAGTAAGTAAACCAAAGAGACAGCAGGTGTTTTTATAGGGGACGTTTCTCATTTGGAGAATCACGTCCCATTTTGGACGTTGCTCTTTCAGCCTGAGGTTTCTTCTCCCTTCTCTAAGATGTGAGCAAGACACAGTGATCAGAGGTCCCAGGAAAGCCATTTACAAGGAGAAGAAAGCACAATAAGTACTAGAGGGACTGAGTATCCCTCACAAACACAAAAGAAAGCCAAAAAAACACACAAAAAGAAAGCAAAAAAACCCACAAAAAAAAACAAACAACAAAGAAAGCAAACAAACAACCAAACAAAAAAAAAACAATCAAAAAGAAAGCGGGGGGAAAAAAAAAGGAAAAAAACCCAAAAAGAAAGTAAACCACACAACCACCAAACCAAACCATGAAAAAGCTGCAAAGATGTGTTCCACAAGCCTGGAGAAGAAAACGAGCAGGAAGGAGCTCAAACAGCAGCAAGGAAGGTTCAGGGCAGAGGTTCTGAAAGGTTTTGTCTAATGCAAAGAAAAGCAAGCAGAGTCTCTCTCCACCACAGCAACTAGGACAAGCCCCCATGAGAAATAACAGAGCATAGGCTGATCCTGTACCCCTAAACAGAGGACCTTGTATTTTCCCAGTAACATTCATCACTATAAAAAATAGCAGTGCTGTCCTTGCCTAGGCCAAGACCAATTCTGTATAGTAAGAGACTGTGGGTATCATCAGTCTTCTCCATCCTTCCATTGGCAAATAACTTAATGTAACTAACTGCTGTTAAGAGCAACACAGGGTGTGTCAACCATGAGACCAAGAGAGTGCATTTAAACCAGATGCATTCAAAGAGGCAGAGCACAGACTTAAGTCTCAGTAGACTCAAGTTAGGCTGAATACACTTGACATGTTGTTGCAACACCAACCTGAAATACTGAAGTTGTTTTTCATTTCAGTACCCTGATATTTAATTTAAATGTGATTTTAACAACTTTATTACCTGTTTTGAATTCAGGCTTGTTGCATTTCAACTCTTTGCCTTCTCTGAACTAAAGACTATTCTACACATGCAGCCAAAAGCCACAAGTGGGAGACAGACTTGACAATTTGTTTCAACTAAGAGAAAAAGATACAATAAATTCAATCTCCTATATAAATGAAATAATTACTCCATTAATATCTCATTAAGCAACAAAGACTGCACACACCACTTTTTTTTTTTTTCCAAAATTGTGAAATGTAAACTCTACAAGTGTTTCTAGCAGCCAGGAAACATAGGTTGAAAAAAACAATTCTTTAATTCCAAGAAAGAGCCTGCTTTTCTCATTCCATGTCACTGTAAAATCCATTTTTCTTTAAAAGAGTCTGTTGCTTATGGCAAATAGTCTTTACAGGAGTGAATTGAACATAAGCTGGTAGCAGTCTGATTTTCCCAGATTTGCTCCCCAAATTGTCTAGTAGTAACTGGATGTTAATTTTTCAGAGCTGCTTGCCTTTAAGATCTGCACTGAAGTGTCAAGCCCAGTTCTCTCCAGTATAACTTTGTTCCTGCTTGTTACAGTGGTGAGCAAACACAGAAATGAGAATAGGACAGAAAGGCATAAACAGCCATCTGAGGATAGATCATGGGGAACTGAAACTTCTTTTCAGAAGCAGCATGAATACAGGTGCAGGGTTATGAGAGTTGCATGTGAAAGCATTAACAAGTGAGAAAAAGAGATCATGGAAAGAAAGTAGAAAGACAAAAATATGAGAAGGCTGTAGAAAAGAGCGTGGAAAGAGTAAGGTGCAAACATAGAAAGCAGACCCTTACAGGAAAGTCAACAAAAACATAGTACAAAACACAAAGAGAATGTAACAGAAAAGATATGGCCAGTTGCATTAAAGAAAACCCAATTCCCCAGCCATGTTTCACTTAAAACCTGCGTGAACCTGGAACACCAGATCTTGGGACCTGATGTTGCTACAGGCCACAATTTCATCTTAAATTCAATATTGTTCAATACGACAGTTGAGTTTCAAATGGCACTTCACTTTTACTGCAGCCTCTTTTCACAATTCAGGTGCTTACCCTTGTTAAGTCCATGCCAAGTTTCAGCTGAGACAAGAGATGCAAGATAACGCTGCGCTGTTCTTCCACGGCTCCTAGATCATCTTCTTTATCATCACAGATATCCTCCAGCTCCTCATCGGGATTTATTTCTTCAGGTTCCTGTGGTAAGAGCCAAAAACATCAGCTCAAAGGTGTGACGGGCTAGACAATATCTAAAAAGGACTTCATATTCTATGTAACTCTCCAGGAATGAAAAAACAAACAGAGTTATCAAGCCCCTGCAGACAGCTACACAATGGAACCTATCCCCAAGATAAACAGGAGCTGAAGAACTTAAGGGGCATTAAGATCACTCAGTGCAGATTCCACCTAAAGTATTCAGGCTAAGATTTCTCACTCCTCTATGGGTTGGGTGAAAATTAAGAGCAAATATGACTGCTTTTCCTGTCAGTTTTGTGAGCTCACAGAGAGGCAAGCATCTAACACAAACATAAAAACAGCAAGGAAATGCTAGCAGAAATCCCAACCACCTCAATAACATCCCTCCACACTACTCCAAGCCTTCCAGCATTGCCATCATTATTCCAGAAGCTGCAGCACATGTAGTGCCTAGTTACTTGCTTACTGTCACCTCGATGAGAAGCACTTAAGGTACCTAAGGTAACACTTACCTAAGGTAAGTGTTGGTGAGCATTATCAATGTTGCTGCTAGTGCCAAGATGTAACAATAAAGGAAAAAGACAAAGTAACTTGGAGTAATTTCATGAAAACATCAACAAAACCTCCAGACATACACACACTCTTTGCCCCGTTGGTATAACTAAAGCACCCAGAACAGGCTAGCAGAAATTATATTAGCATAATTTTAACCCACCACCACCCCACAAACAGAAGGTCTGAGGCTTCAGGCAGAAGGGATAGGGGTATTTCTAGGGCTCTAAGCAGCATCCTCCTGGAGAAAACAGCTGCAGGGAGGCAGATGCAGAGGGGAGAGGCACTGAACACCACAGAAAGGCAGCAATATGCAGCTGCCTAAGCAAAGCCCTTTGTCCTGAAACAGCTGCCCTAGCTCAAGGCAAATGTAGAACACTCAACCACCAAAACCAGGGGGCCAAGCCCTCACACAGAGCTTAAACCCTCATGGAATCTGTAGCATCACACAAGTGACTCCTTTCCAAGGATGCTAAAAGGGTCTACTGCCATAAAGGAGGAAGCTGAAAATATCTAAGGGGAATAAGATTAGTTATATCCCAAATACAGACAGTGATACACAAAAAGGACTTGAACTGTAACTTATTTAGTAGAAGGAGGAAGAAATTAAAGTGATTTATTTGAAAGTTCCTAGGTTTTTTTTCCTTTTTTTAATTTAATAGCAACTATTTGCATCCTTTTAACATTTATAAACTATAGTAACTACAGAAAAAATTATTTTCTATTTCCATTTTTCTGTAAGATACCAGTGCTGTCTCAGAGCCTTACAACAGCACATTAGCTTCTCACAATGATACAGTCTCATCCAAACAACTGTGTGAAATCAACTAGTATAAAAATAATGTAATTATGATTTTCTATCTTAGTTAGAAAAACATATTCTTTATCATAATCCCTGCTGTTTTTTTACTTTAGCATTTTACAATTCAAATCAATGTTGACAGTTATAATGATACAGACAGTAGTTGTACTTCAAATACATTAAGTCATCCTGAAGCCAAGGGATGAGAATTGCTCAGATTAAGAAAAATAGACACAGCAAGAGCTAGAGAAGAATGATGGGGAGATTTAATAGCTGGAGATCAGCAATTTTCTCTTTCGTCTGCTTAGGCAGTTCTTTTTGGGCCTATTTTGAGAGTGTCATGAATTCCAGTCAGGCTTTTTGCACTGCAATTTGCAAAAATGCAAGGGAATGCTGCCTATTTCAACACCTCAGCCCAGCTGGCTCCTTCCACTTGACAGCTAGCTACAGAAAGCAGCAAAAATTACTGAAAAAGCAATTAGGAAGCTTCATTTACTGCAACTGCTCTCACTCTTCCTCCAACACAGCTAATTAAGAAGTGTGAGAAGAATTGGCTTGAAAAAATTTTCACATAATATGATTGAAATATTTACAGTTATTCCTCAAAGTAACTGCCCACAGAAGTGGGATGTCCACATTACCTTACCCTTGTTAGCTGGCAGGGCTCTGCAATGGACTGCTCTTCTCTGACCGATGCTGGTTTGTTTACCTCTGCTGGGAAATTCTGAGCTGCTCCATTTTTGAAGTGGTTTGCCAGAGGTATCTTCGGTTCCAACCAACTGATGGTCGTTCCTGAAGCAAAAGAAAGTTTGCGCTGTAACTTGCTCATCCTCTGGAAGGTCAGGAAACAGCAGTTTTCTCAAAAGAGTTTTTTTGGTTTTTTTTCTCTTTTAAGGAATGAGCTGAAAGCAGCCAATTCCTCCCACAGCCACTAAGCAAAGGTGGTGCAATGAGACACCACCTTCAGTGATCATTAGCACAAACCCTGCGATTGGTGAGCTGTAATACATGCAACTTGGACTGGAGAAAGTAGCTGGTGTCATGAAAGGTGTAATCAGACACTCCAGGAAGAACCCAGTAGCACCGGAATGTTAAGTAACCTTTACCGTTTTCTTTAACTGGTCCCCCAGAAAAAACCAAAAAACCCTCCACTTAACAGGCTCCCCAACCCAGCTTAGTTCTAAGACTAAAAAGACCTAAAGCAGAAAAAGTTTTGGTGCCAGTGTTTTCTCTGGAGATGGTGCCTGTGTTTTCCCTGCTGCAAGAAAGGCAAGCACACACTGCTGAATTAATAATAGTTGCTCAAAAGAAAAAAAACACTGCAGGGCTTGGAAAACTATTACCCACTCAATGATTCCAGCATCTCTAGTTACTCTCAGCTAATTTATCTGAACTCATCAGGTTCCTCATTAATAATACAAATGTTCCATTCTTTTTCAAAGGCTAATAAAGGTACAGGAGACTCCAATCAGTTTTTACTGAAAAATATACAAGTTGACAAATGATCTTGGCTGGGTTACAAACACAGAAAATATTAGGAACTCTGAATTTCTACTACAGCACAGCAGCTCCCCATGGCTTAGGAACCTCCATCAAGGTGGCTCTTGTCTCTTCCTATATGATACACAGACTTATTTCCAGACCTCTGTTATCTGGAACTAGGTCACATCCTCAGTTTGAACAGGCAGAGTAACCTTAGTTCAGATACACAACAGCATTTTCCCCAGGAAAATAGTCCAGTTTTACTAACAGGACAAGACAACTTATTCCACAGCAAGATCATTTATTTTCATCAAGTCTATTACTCATTAATTACTCATTAATTGCTTACATAGCAAAAATGAGAATCCCTCAGCAGTTTAAGCTATTTAAATAGAAGTTTTAAGAAGTCAAAATTTAAGATGCTCAGAATGCCACTGTCACACTTATCTTTTGGAAAAGGTTTTACTCCTCTTTAAAACCTCTTTATGATTCCTGCTTTCTGAGCTGCAACTTCCAACACAGTAATATCTAACTGCATGTTCTAGGCTGCATTTAATCCAAACTCCCTGCCTCTGTATTAGCTTGAATTTAGCAAGAATAGAAGTAAAGAAGTCTCCCTTCTGTACTCCCCATCAGCTCTTTCTAAACCAACCATATATATTAAGTTCTGCTTAATTTTTGCTGTTAAATTCTAGAAGGTGATAGAGTTTTTTTAAAGGGATTTGAGCCCCCAGTTGTGTTTCAGTTGTGTTTCAATCTTTGTGAATGAACAGGACACTCCCTTAATACTTCTCTTCCACTGGAAGATGATATTCAAAATCTGCTGTTGACTATTTTGGGTAGGCACAAGCTATTCTCTCATTATCTCCTCCTCCTCTAAAAGCCTTCACTCCCTTTTTTTAAAACAGTTGTCAGCACTTCCCCTCCTCCACAATGAAGACCCCCAGAGCCTAGTGTCTGCATTTGCAACATTTTTCTTCAAGAATTGTAAATTGTTGTTGCAATTTGCCTTTAGGGTAATTAAGCACTTTTTTAACTCTTTTTTAAATCCAGTACCTCTCACCACTTTTTGCTTCAGTTTAGGAAAAGCTAATAGGTGCAACTTTCCTTTTCATCTTTAAGTCTATGATTTATGGTACACCTTGATGCAGCTGGGTCAGTATCTTCCTTCTTCTGTTAGGTTTTTTTCCTTTGAAAAATGTATAGCAAACTGGCACTCTTACATAATTTCTAATCCTTGTTTTTTAAGCCTGACAAGCACTTGCCTAACATTCTTAGCAGTCAAGTGCCTCTTTAACAGACCCCAAAAATACTTTTTTCCACTTCATGCTTAAATTTATGTTCTGCTACACAAGCCTCCTCTTCATCATCACTTCTTGCTGTCTCTCACTCTTACCTAGCTGAAGTATACTGATTTGCCTTTATGATCCTAGGAAGACTAAATAGTGATTGCATATATTGTATTAGAACAGCCTGTAGTCAAGATGTTTTTCCTACATAATTTTGTTTTCCTTCACCTAAATATAGACATGTCTCCTGCAGCATTTGAATTAAGCCACAACACTTACACTTTCTACATAAACTTCTGAAGCCTACCAAAAAGACTCCCCCAGTTGAACCAGACCTGAGCAGCCCTCCTGAGTGTGTGTGGGAAAACTAAGCTAAATAGACTTAAAAAAATTAAATCTCTGAGCAATCCTTGAAATTAACACTACTGTATTTTGAAAGAAAGGCCACTT